GAGAGGCGGCGGGCGCTGGACGGCTGCGACGGCTCCTCCGTGGCAGCGCGGGGGTATTAGGCTGCTATGCCCGGTGGGTATATCTGGAGGCGGCGGGCCGGTGGACGGCCCTGCAGGACGGCTCCTCCGTGGACCAGCGGCGGGTGATTAGCTGCTTCATGCGGTGGGTAGCTCTCTGGAGGCGGCGGGCGCTGGACGGCCCTGCGGACGGCTCCTCCGTGGCAGCCGGGGTATAGCTGCTATGCGGTGCGGGTAGCTAATCTGGAGGCGGCGGGCGGTGGACGGACCTGGGACGGTCATCCGTTGGCGGCGGCGGGTATAGCTGCTTATGCGGCGGGGGTAGCTCTCTGGAGGCGGCGGGCGGCCCTGCGACGGCTCCTCCGTGGCGGCGGGCGGTATCAAGCTGCTATGCGCGCGGGTAGCTCTCTGGGAGGGCGGCGGGCGGTTGGACGGCCCTGGACGGCTCCTCCGTGGCGGGCGGCGGCGTATAGCTGCTATGCGGCGGGGTAGCATCTCTGGAGCGGCGGGCGGTGGGACAGCCCTGCGACTGGCTCCTCCGTGGCGGCGGCGGGTATAGCTGCTATGCGGCGGGGGTAGCTCTCTGGAGGCGGCGGGCGGTGGCACGGCCCTGCGACGGCTGCCTCCGTGGCAGCGGGCGGGTATAAGCCTGCCTATGCGGCGGGGTAGCTCTCTGGAGGCGGGGCGGGCGGTGAAAAGGCCCTTACGACGGCTCCTCCGTGGTGGCGGCGCGGTATTAGTTGCTATTGCGGCGGGGTAGCTCTCTGGACCGGCGGCGGGGGTGGAAGGCCCCTCCGAACGGCTCCTCCGTGGCGGCGGCGGGTATAGCTGCTATGCGGCGGGGTAGCTCTCTGGAGGCGGCGGGCGGTGGATGGCCCTGTGACGGCTCCTCCGTGGCGGCGGCGGGTATAGCTGCTATGCGGCGGGGTAGCTCTCTGGAGGCGGCGGGCGGTGGATGGCCCTGTGACGGCTCCTCCGTGGCGGCGGCGGGTATAGCTGCTATGCGGCGGGGTAGCGCTCTGGAGGCGGCGGGCGGTGGATGGCCCTGTGACGGCTCCTCCGTGGCGGCGGCGGGTATAGCTGCTATGCGGCGGGGTAGCTCTCTGGAGGCGGCGGGCGGTGGATGGCCCTGTGACGGCTCCTCCGTGGCGGCGGCGGGTATAGCTGCTATGCGGCGGGGTAGCTCTCTGGAGGCGGCGGGCGGTGGACGGCCCTGCGCCGGCTCCTCCGTGGCGGCGGGCGGTGGAAGGCCCTGCGACGGCTCCTCCGTGGCGGCGGCAGCTCCCTGCTATGCGGTGCGGCGGCGGCGGCTATGTAGCAGCGGCCGTATCGGCTGCTCTGTGGGGTGGAGTTCCGTCGGTGGTTCACAGAATCTGCACTCTCCTGCAAATTCGCAAAATGGCGGCCAGTAACGATGTGGCGGCTTCGTTTTCTCGCTGACAGTGGATTGGCCAGCCGCTATCCAGATAGTATACAGAGATCAGTAATGTCATTTATATACGTCACAATACTGTACTATGAGCTACGAAGGATGGCAGCGCGATATCATGGCACACAGTAAGATTGTTTTAGACGATGTGATACTGTCATGCTATACGATTTGATGCAGTCCTGGTTTATGTATTTGCCCTGCATAGATGCGTGTATCACGCGCTCGGTTTTGAATGAGTGCGCCGGTGTCTACTCAGTGAACTGCAGGCAGTAAACTTGCATCCACACTTGTCACACGCAAACGGCCTCTCTCCCGTGTGAGTGCGCATGTGTGACTTAAGCATCTCGGACGTAGAACACTTATATTCACATCTCTCACATGCAAACGGCTTCTCTCCCGTGTGAGTGAGAATGTGTGTCTTGAGATTATGGAGACTCGTATATCTGTGTTCACATATATCGCACGCATACCGCCTCTCTCCCGTGTGAGTGAGAATGTGTCTCTCGAGATTACCAGACATAGAACACATATATTCACATCTCTCACATGCAAACGGTTTCTCTCCCGTGTGAGTGCGCATGTGTGTCTTGAGAATACTGAGGGTAGTATATCTGTGTTCACATATATCGCATGCATACGGCCTCTCTCCCGTGTGAGTGCGCATGTGTCTCTTGAGAATACTGAGGGTAGTATATCTGTGTTCACATATATCGCATGCATACGGCCTCTCTCCCGTGTGAGTGCGCATGTGTCTCTTGAGAATACTGAGGGTAGTATATCTGTGTTCACATATATCGCACGCATATGGCCTCTCTCCCGTGTGAGTGCGCATGTGTCTCTTGAGAATACTGAGGGTAGTATATCTGTGTTCACATATATCGCACGCATATGGCCTCTCTCCCGTGTGAGTGCGCATGTGTCTCTTGAGAATACCAGACATAGAACACATATATTCACATCTCTCACATGCAAACGGTTTCTCTCCCGTGTGAGTGCGCATGTGTGTCTTGAGATGACAGAGGCTCGTATATCCATGTTCACATATATCGCATGCAAACGGTTTCTCTCCCGTGTGAGTGCGCATGTGTCTCTTGAGA